TCACATCCCTTGTCCTCTGCTAAGCTTTCACACCAATGCTGTAATCCACAGGGCAACTGTGGCAATCCTCTCTACACTTTCCTGTCTATTTTCTTTATTTTCTCTGATATGAGAGGACAATTGTTGGCTTAAAGCTCTTTAAAACCATTAATTCCTAAGTGGCCAATAAACATATGAAAAGGCACTTTTCTAATTTTGGGGGGGAATGCAGACGAAAACCATGATATGATACAATGCCACTACATGGCAATCAAAAGCAAACAGTAAGGACCTTCATAGTCTGCTGGTGGAAATGTGAATCAGTTCAACCTTTCTGGAAGATGGCATCACCTAATAACATTGAAAATATGTGAACACTAGCACGTCCTCTCCTAGGTGTGTATCCTGGACATGTGTGTTTGTCATGTACAATGACACCTGTACAAGAATATTTTTGGCAGCAGGATTTGTAATTGACCCAAATTGGAAACAAAGCAAATGCTTTCAATAGCAGAGTGGATAAATAGTGATATGTCCACACAACAGAAATTTATGTAGCAACGAAACTGTGTAAACTAGAGTTATACACAACAAAATGGATGGATCCTACAAACACTATTACGAAAAAAAAAAAAAAAGTCACAAAACATTACATACAAAGGCCATATAAAGGTAAAAACCAGGCAAAGCCAAACTACACCAGTTTTCTTAGACTCTTTGGTTAACTATAAGAATGAAGTAGAGCTAGGAAGAAACGGGGAGAGTAGCCTTCAATGGCATAGAATGCAGTTGAGCAAATCCAGTCATCTAAATGATGATGCAATAATGAGAGAGCCTGTAAGAAAGAAAACTGAATAGATTGCTTTCCATGGGCATATTTAAAGTTAGATGGTACATATGGGCCCTTGAATGTGTGCACATACATGTAGGCACACAGCCACACTACTGGAATATTTCAGGCTAGATGGATGGTTCAGTGGGTGCTCATCCGCCTGGTCTAGCCACGTCTAGCCATGGTTTTCACCTCCAGATATCTCATGTGTTGCGAAACTGTGGGGAAAATACAAGAAACAACCACCCATGTTTATAAGGTGAATAAAAAAGCCGAAACAAATGCTTCTTCTCGGATGTTTCTCTTTTCTTGGGCTGATGGCACGGATACATAGTTTTATTAGCCAAGCGGTATCACAGGAAATGCTAACTAAATTAGGGTTATTTCTTAGCGATTTTGAAGTTTATTTTCTGGGTTTGGTTGCATTCCAAGAACTGAGGAAGCTATATTGCTGCATTTGTATCTACTATGATACATATCTCAAAAAAGTTGAGATTGACTTTAATAAGCATGCTATAGATAGGAAAGAACTTACTACCCACCAAAGGTAGAATGAGTAAATAAATTGTGGTTTATTCAAATAATGAAGTATACATGCTGGACCCTAATTTACTATTCATTTACTGTTCATTTTAACAATAGATGATCACGTTAACAGAGGATTGTTTTGTATTACTCAAAACTTTTGATACCAGGACTTACATGTATAATTGAAAATGAAAGGGACCCCTGCCGCTTTACAAAACAGTGCAGTGGTCCTTTGATTCCTGTGTTAATGACATGACAGTTATACCACAAGAATGCTCACAGCTGTCTCAGTACCACATGGACAGCTGTTGGGTTTAGAATTCTAATGATGGTCAGATAGAAACCAGAAAGTTATGAACGTGATGTTCCCAGCACAGGGGAGGGGAAGAAGAGACTAGTATGTTCTCTGACCTCTACCATGTGCGTAGGTGTGGCACTGCATAAACTCTGCTTCACACGGAGCTCACCTCCACTACCAATGGGTTGGGAACCTTGCATCTAGGTTTAGCAATTCTTGGTAATCAGTTCAAAGAATAAAACATTTTTCACTTTTAAAATGTAATACAATATTTGATACACAATATAGCACATTAATAAAACAAATACTGGTGATGCCACCCTTCAATTTATGAAATAGAACTTACAGATTCAGTTGAAATCTTCCTTGTGATCCTGCAGTCCCACCCTATTGCCTACCCACCCAAATTGGAAATAAAGTGAAACTGTCACTATTTACAGATGACATGATTTTATATAAGAAAACCCTGAAGACTCCATCAAAAGACTATTAGAAACAAAGAACAAAACAGTAAAGTTGCAGGATACAAAATCAATGTACAAAAATCTGTTGCATTCCTATATATTACCAATGAAATATCAGAAAAAAAGAACAATTCCATTTGCAATTGCCACAAAAAAGATAAAATACCTAGAAATAAACTTAACAAAGTAAGTGAAAAACCTATACACTAAAAAATACAAGATAATTGTTGAAAGAAATTGAAGACACCCACACATACACACAATGATATTCCATGTTCTTGTATTAGAAAAATTAACATAGTTAAAATGGCTATGTTACCTAAAGCAATATACAGATTTAATATAATCTCCACCAGGATCCCAATGACATTTTTCAAAGAAATGGAACTTAAATCCTCAAATTTGTATGGAACCATAAAAGGCCCTGAATAGCCAAAGCAATCCTGAGAGAGAGAAAAAAGAGAAACAAGCCAGACGTATCCTATTCTCTGACTTCAAAGTATACTACAAAGCTATATAATCAAAACAGTATTGTATAGGCAGGGGAAAAAAAGAGAGACACAGACCAATGGAACAGAACTGAAAGCCCAGAATAAACTCACACATATATGGGCAATTAATTTTTGACAAGCCAAAAACATACAATTAAGAAAGGAAAGCCTCTTCAATAAAGCCTCTTCAATAAAAGCCTCTTCAAGCACATGCAAAAGAATGAAACTAGATTGCTATCTGACATTGCACACAAAAATTAACTCAAAATGGATTAAAGACTTTTATATAAGAACTGAAACAATAAAATACATAGAAGAAAACATAGCTATGAAGTACATGAACCTTGGGCTTAAAGGTGTTTTGGTGAACTTGATCCTAAAGGCAAAAGAAATAAAAGCAAGAACAAATGAATGGGACTGTATCAAACTAAAAAGCTTCTTTACAGCAAAAGAAACTATCAATAGAACAAAAGGCTAGCAACCAAATAGGAGAAGATATATGCAAATAATACCTCTAATAAGAGGTTAATATCCAAAGTATATAAAGAACTCAAACAATGCAACAACAACAAAAAATAAACAATCTTATTAAAAAATGGGCTGAGGATCTGAACAGACACTTCTCACAAGAAGACATACAGATGTCCAACAGACATATGAAGAAATGCTCAACCTCACTAGTGATAAGGAAATGCAAATCAAAACCACAATGAGATACCATTTTACATCTGTTAGAATGGCTATTATTAATAAGACAAGATACAACAAGTATTGGAGAGGCTGTGGAAAAAGGGGAATCCTCATTCATTGCTGGTGGGAATGTAAACTGGTATAGACACTATGGAAACAGTATGGAGGTTCCTCAATAAATTAAGAATATAGCTACTGTATGACCCAGCAATCCCTCTCTGATCATCTGCCCCCAAAACCTCAAAAATATTTATTTGCAAGGATATATGTACCCTATATTCATTGCAGTGTTATTCACAATAGCCATTGCATGGACACAACCGAAGTGTCCTTCAACAGATGATTGGGTAATTTGTGGTACATATATGCAATGGAATACTACTCAGCCATTTAAAATGTCAAAATATTGCCATTTATGTCAACATGTCTTTTCCTTTTTTAAAAATATATTTTATTGATTTTTCACAGAGAGGAAGGGAGAGGGATAGAGAGCCAGAAACATCAATGGAGAGAAACATTGGTCAGCTGCCTCCTACACCCCTCCCACTCAGGACATGCCTGCAACCAAGGCACATGCCCTTGACCAGAATCGAACCCAGAACCCTTCAGTCCACAGGCCAATGCTCTATCCACTGAGCCAAACCCAAACTGGTCAGGGCTATGTCAACATGTCTTGAGAGTATCATGCTAAAGTGAAATAAGTTAGACAGAAAAGGACAAAACCATGATATGTGGTATATAAAACAGAAAACAATAAACAAAGAAAACAATAAACAAACTCATAGACACACAACAGTATGGTGGTTACCAGAGGAAAAGGGGCGCGGGGGGAGGATGAAGAAGATGATAGAAAGAGACTAGATTTTGAGTATGCAATATGCAGATGATGCATTATAGAACTGTACACCTGAAACTTATATAATGTTATTAACCAATCTTATCCCAGTAAATTAATTTTTAAAAAAGGCTCCTCCTCACCCAGCTGCCATGGCTCAGTGGTTGAGCATCGACCTATGAACCAGGAGGTCATGGTTCAATTCCATTCAGACATATGCTCGGGTTGTGGGCTTGATCCCCAGTGTGTGGCACGCAGGAGGCAGCCAATCAATGATTCTCTCATCATTGATGTCTCTCTCTCCCTCCTCCCTTTCTCTCTGAAATCAATAAAATATATATTAAAAACAAACAAAAAAAGCTCCTCTTCTGTGAAGCTCTTCCTTCTCAAAGCTGCAACTCTGTTGTGTGTGCTCCCTTTTTAATGGTGCCCATTATTATACCTGTTGTACTCCATTGCTATTGCTGGTTTTCAAGAATTTCTTCTTGCTAGGCTATGAGCAACCTGAGGATAACATCTTTAAATACCCAGTGTCTGGCATATGTTTTTTACTCAATAAGTGTACTAATTTACTTTAAAAAAAAAAGTAAATGAGTACATTAATGACTAAGTGAATAAACTAAGTGAATAATGACTAAGTTTTTAGGGAATAGGATTGTAAATCCTTGTTTAAATCCTTGAGTTTTAATCTTATCTGAGTAATCACTAGCCAAACTAGAACCTCCTAAACCTGGTCTTGTTTATTATTCCCGGTTAGTCAAACCTACATCAAATCCCAGTGAAACACTCAGGGCATGGGCCACTGGCTGCCTCACACTCGACCAGCATCAGGGAGACCACCGATTGTCTCTAAAAAAACACACACACACAAAAGACGCAGTAGTTTTGTTTCTCTTTTATTGCAACCCATTGCAAGGTCAAAAGATTCACAGAAATATAGAAACTACAAACCGAGTAAATTTCCTTTATCCACTCAAAAAGACATTAAAGACAAAGGACCAGAATTTCCACTACAGCAATATATTTCATAGCCTTTATTCTGAAAATACTGTTGACATTTGGAGAGGATAAAAAGCCCTGCATTAAACGTGTTCACATACATTTATAACATTCTAAGCAAACAAAACAAAACAAAAACTCTATATTGCCCAGAAAAATCATTTTCAGCCTCAATTGAAAGCATCTAATAAGAACACATTCAACAACCACCACAGGATCACTCAAGGTAATGCTTTTTCTGGTTGTTTTTTTTTTCTTTCTTTTTTCTTTTTCTTTTTAAGATTAATGCTCTGAGGCTGGCTATGACATTTCTAGAGATTTATACAAATATACCAAAGCAGTTTTCCAGGTTATGTGGCATCAGGCTTTCTGGATTAGTCAACATTTTAAAGAATAAGAGTGCAAGGCCCACTCCCCCCACCCAACCCACGCTGAAGCATGTTATAGTGCTGCACGCTAGATCAAACACTGCAACATAAAAAAAAAAAAAAATCAATTATACGCTTCTTAAACCATTCGACAACCAAATTGTAACACTCCAAAATTATAACAATTTTGAATTGAAATGGCGCCATCTGTATCATCGATGGCTCTCCCTTCTTTAGTCTTTTCTTCAACTATTTAAAATATAGTGTGACATATATAAAAATTAAACTTTTGCTTACTCACTCAAGCTACAATTACTATTCATAAGGTCTTATAAATTAGTTTTGGATTAAAAACCAGTTAAAATATAATGATTTAAGATATTTTTCAGTGGAGGAGAAATGAAAACACAGTTTGATGTGTAAGAAATTAATAGTAAATTGTTTTTTTTCCCTTACAAACTTTATTCCCTTAAAATTAAATTAATAATCCATTTAGTGACAGAAAAAAATACCCTTGGTGGGTACTGACTATATTTTCCTAGCTGATTTGGATTAAAAGCAAAGAATAAAAAAAAAAAATAAAAAAAACCATATCAGAAACATGTTGACATAATCAAAAAAAGCAGTTGTTTTAAATATTTTTGGAGTCATTATAAATAAGTGAATGGCATTTGAATGTAAAGCTATTTTTTTGTTTCTTACAGATAGTCTCGTTTTAGCAATATTGGGCTTATAGAAAGTTAAACTCAAACTTTCGTATACCTGTTAAAGACCAAAAAAAACCCAGCTAGTCCACACTGGGGAAGAATAAATAGCAAACTCACAAGCCAGGGTTTTGTATCTAGCTCTACTGGGAAAGATAATCACTCTTTAGCATAAAAAGGCTCCCTGCTGTCTTGATTATAAATCTAGACAGAGGAAAGGTTATTTGAGCCTGAGTCTCTACATGGATTAACTGTAAATATGTGTGAAATCAAAACATTCATTTACATAGATCTTTTCTTAACTGACAGGTGTCAACTTTTAAACAAAGAAATGCTTATTTCTGACGAGTGTAAACAGAATTTTAAAGAAAAAATTTTATAATTTTTCTTAACTCATACATTAACCAGCAATAGATCTTTGCAGTAGCGTAAGAACTATTTAAAAATAACATGCATATAACCAAAAAAACCTGCTCGAAAGCCCAAAGCAAAAAAAAGAAAGATTGTCTATTTATATCACTCATTAATATTCTATTAATGTGACTACCCCCAAATCTCAGAAATATAATTTCATAATTACCCAAATTAACAAAAATAATTAAATGATCTGTAGATTTTTTTTTAAAAATAACTTCACACTATTAATTACATTGGTGACTTTAATGTGAATAATGTGAAGATTAGCTCCAAATACCATTAAAATACATCCAAGACAAGTTACTATCCATGAAATAAAAACTAACACAATGTTAATGTAAAACTCAACCGAAATATTTAGTATACTCAACAGAACGCATTTGTAGAATGATGAATAATTAACTTTTGTGAGCTGGCCAGGGGACTGGTACCTCCAGATAAATTTCACAGAAGGCTTTATCCTCTCTAGTCCCCCAGTCACCTACCACACAGCAGGCTGGCCCCTCCTGGGGACATGGAGTTAGCAGAGCCTCAGCGGGCAGCATGCTCTCCCAGCGGCCTGGAGGGAGGCCCCTATGTCCGAAATGATGCAGAAAGAAACCGTCCTGGTGTGTGTGCATGTGTGTGTATATGCATGTGGGAGTGAGAGAAGCTAGTTCCCAGGCTTCTGACTACTGCAACATCACGTATGTTCTGGTTGTCATAGCAGAAGTGCGCTAGTCTATCTCACTGGGAAAGAACGCAGTTGCCTTCACTTTAGGGCATCACCAAGTGGTAGGAATTAGAAGCTCAAAATAATATATTTATTTTTATCCCACAGTAAAAACACTTAAAAAAAAAAAAAAAGAGAGAGAGAGAGAAATGAACCTTTGAACTTAAAAATTAAAAGGTTTGTAGCGTTCAAAATCTTCAAGTTTTAAGAAAAACAACCAGCTCACCTGGGACGAAACAGCAATTGCGCTTATGCTAGGCAGTATGCGAACAAGACACAGATATACACATTCGGGTACACACACGGACACGTGACAGTTAAAACCTTTCCGAGAGACCACGCAGCCCACGTCTGCACCCCTTCCCGCCCCGCCGGGCGGCCGCGTGGACCTGAGCGCGGGCAGGGTTGTTAGGAGGAGGCCGCCGACATGTTGGGGGTCCAGCCCATCTGATAGGCTCTCTCCAGGGTCCTCTTGCAGTCCTGGAGGACGGTGCTGAAGGTGATGTGGGGGTACTGCTGCACCAGCTGCTCCACCGTCACTTCATTCACCTGCAAGCAGACAAGAGTGGCTGTCATGTGCCTGCACTGCTGCAACCACCAGCCGCCCTGCCCGCCCCGCAGTCCTTCCCCGCACTGTGTGGGCAAGGGCTCAGCGAGAGGACCCGCGGCCCTTTCTGTCTGACCGCCCTGGTTTGCTAAATACCACACTCGCCCTTACAGACTTTTAAGAAGACATAGGATATGTAGACATCAAATGTGTTTTCTAGAAGCATCAATCACTGGGACTTGCGGAGATCCTAAATGTGTGTCCATTGAAAATCTACCAGCAGCGCTTAGAAGGCGAGGCTGCAGCAAGTGAGCGTTCAAATGTGCATTTGACTTTGTCATCAACCTGCTGGGCTTTTTAGGACAAGATTGTAGATAGAAACGCTGGGGGGGAAATGTTTATTTTTCTCCCCTTTAAATGTTAAGGTATTCCAGACTTCAAGTCCCTCCGTGGAGAAAGGGCTGAAGTGGGAGGAATCAATAATTAAAACATACATGGCTGGCAGGTCAGAGATGGCCCCACTAGACCTTAACCATCAAAGATACCACCTTGATTCTTGATTAGACAAGGCAATCAGACAGGGCCTAATTAAAACTAACACCTGTACAATTGCTGTGCTGTGAAGGGATTAATTTGTCAATTATTTTTAAGCTGATTGCAGTTCATATCACAGAAGTAGACAGCTTCCTTCATCCTTTAGATAAATAAATGATTAACCTGAGAACCACAACTTTTAGGGGGCTTTATTTAAAATCTTTATCAAACACTTGGGCATTTCCAAATACATCAATAGTTCATTTAGACTAAGTAAGCTGGTCTAAAGGACAGGACTTCTTGTACACATTTCTCTCCTCCCTTTCCTCATCTGTCCACCACGGGGAAAGATCAGAACCACCAGAAAAGCCCTAGGATAACATGAAATCCTTGCTGTTTGCCTTTGCATCCTGCTTACAAGTATAATGACCACGACATTCCGTCGTCTGCACTATTCTGAAGTAATACGGTATTTGGAAAACTGTGATATCTTTTTTTTTTTTTTAATAAATTTGATTTGATAGTTAATTTTTGTCAGAATATTTCTCTATTCAAAATTTGCTTGTATAGAAATCAACTTTTATTCTAAATTCAAACAAGACATGCAGTTAATTCTTTTTGTGATATAGATATGGTGCATAACATTTTGTTTTAAAAAATAAGAAGAAAATAATTGTGAATGAAAAGGAAGAACAGATATAGAGTTAAGAATATCAGCTGATGATCTTAAGAGGATTTTTAAGTTATATATATATATATATATATATATATATATATATATATATATTTAATTTAAATTTATGTTCTAAGACTTGCCTGTGTTGAGGCAGCTTATAACAGTACATTTAGAAGGCCATTGTGTCATCTCGCCCTACCTCTCTAGCCTGTTTTTTATACTAGCCACTCACCTGACTGAATTTCATGTTATCAAGCTTCCAAGTTCTGTCTGGTCTCAGGGACTTTGCACATGTTGTTTTCTTTTTTTTCTTTTTTTCTTTTTAAATATATTTTATTGATTTTGTACAGAGAGGAAGGGAGAGAGATAGCAACTTAGAAACATCGATGAGAGAGAATCATAGATCAGCTGCCTCTTGCACACCCCCTACTGGGGATGTGCCCGCAACCAAGGTACATGCCCTTGACCGGAATTGAACCTGGGACCTTTCAGTCCGCAGACCGATGCTCTATCCACTGAGCCAAACCGGTTTCGGCTGTTTTCTTTACCTGAATACTGTTTAATACACTTCCCCCTTAAAACCACCTTCTCATGCATACTTCCTACTCTTCATTGTTTTAAATTTGTTAAACTATTTTGGAGTCTCAGGTGGGTAGCACAGCGACTCAAGATTTATATACTTTATTATGTAATCACAAGTCTATTCACCATCTGTTACAATGCAAAGTTTATCACAATATTACTGACTATATTCTCCATCACCTTTCACCCTACTCATTCTTGAGTACTTAGCTGTAATTCATTTCCCCAGGTAACTCTGGTCACTGTCCTCTCCCCAAATGAAGTAAGACTTCCAGGCTGCTCACTCTTTCAATATTGCCAACCTCTCCTGTATAGCACCTATATTATAAAGTTAGTTTATAAATGCCGTGCTTAATGTCTACTTCTCCTGCTCCAATGTAACATCCATAAGAGCCATATCATTTTTTGAACCTATGAGCCAGGCCTACTTACTAATGAATGAAATTAGTATAGTATATAAAAAAGTATATTATAAAAAATATACTTTTATAATAATGAAAAGTATAATATGCTAATTAGATCAGACAGCCAACAACCTTCTGGTCTTCATTCTTGACGTCCTTCTGGATGAAGCCGCTGTGGCGGGGGCCGAGGCAGAGGCGGTTAGGGGAGATCAGGCAGGCAGGCAAGCAGTGAAGGGCAATCAGGCAGGCAGGCAGGCAGGCAGGCGAGTAGTTAGGGGTGATCAGGCAGGCAGATGAGTAGTTAGGGGCAATCAGTCAGGCAGGCAAAGTGGTGAGGAGTGATCAGGCAGGCGAGGAGTTAGGAGCCAGCATCCCGGGTTGTGAAAGGGATGTCTGACTGCCTGTTTAGGCCTGATCCCCACTATGGAATTGGGACTAAACCAGCAGTCGGACAACCCCTGAGGAGGTCCCAGATTTCGAGAAGGTGCATGGGGCCTCTAGTCTAAAAAAATAGTCTGTAATATGCTAATTAGACCAGACAGCCCAACGACCTTCTCAGACATCCTTCAGGACAACCTTCCAGATGAAGCTGGGGCTGTGAGAGCTGAGGCAAGCTGCTGCGGCTGCGAGGGCCAAGTCCCTTGCATGAATTTCATGCATCAGGCATCTAGTATAACAGTACAAACTCGAAATAAAAATTAGAAATCCAACAGCAAGGCCAAGCTAGATACTAAAGTAATCATAACCACAAAGACCAGTAATTTCCGCAGGAACTTATATTCAGCTCAAGAATTCCCTCCTTCAGGAAGCCTTTCTGCAGCAGGCCTATCTGCCCACGAGGTTGAGTTAGGCACCCCTGTCGGTGCACCCATAGCTGGCCCCCTGTGAGCTTTGTCCTGGATCTGAGCCCTTTCACACTGCATGGCCATCATCCCCTTACTCGCCCATCTCTTCTGCCTGAACTAACGCCTCTGCCTTTGACCGAGGCTCTCAGCTGTGCACATGTAAAGCAGAAACATGGCAACTGCGTTCACACCATGGACTTCAGAGTCAACTAGAAACAGGTTTGAATCCCGGTTTCACTTTAAGATTTTATTTTTTCAACTGTAAAAACAGAATAAAAGTACTTATATCATAGGATTGTTATAAAGGATTAGCTGTAATAATATGCCTAACCCTGTGCCTGACTTAAAAAAAGTCTGCAAGACCCTGGCCAGGTAGCTCACTTAGTTAGCATATTGTCCCAATATTCCAAAATGCCAAGGTTGTGGGCTCGATCCCTGGTCAAGGCATATATAAGACTCAACCAAGGCGTGCGTGAATGGGTAGAACATCCTATCAGTATTTCTCTTTCTCTCTCTCTCTCAAATCAAAAAGTAAACATTTCTAAAAAAAAAAAAAAAAAAAAAAAAAAGGATCCCAAATGGTAGCTCTTATTATTGCAGCAGGCATGATTATGGAGTGCATGAGTTAACTGTCAACATGTTAGGACAACCAATTCTCTACAGTAATACTCAATATTGCTCCACTTTTGAGATATTTCAGAAATAAATTTTTATAACATTAGTGATAATGTTCAAAATAAAATAATCACAGGTCAAGAAGTAACCTTTAAAATATACTTCATAGCCGGGACCGGTTTGGCTCAGTGGATAGAGCGTCGGCCTGCGGACTGAAAGGTCCCGGGTTCGATTCCGGGCAAGGGCATGTACCGTGGTTGCGGGCACATCCCCAGTAGGGGGTGTGCAAGAGGCAGCTGATCGATAACTCTCTCTCATCGATGTTTCTAACTCTCTATCCCTCTCTCTTTCTCTCTCTGTAAAAAATCAATAAAATATATTTTAAAAAAATAAAATAAAATATACTTCATAGATTAGCTAGTTTGGCTCAGTGGGTAGAGCGTCAGCCTGTGGACTGAAGGGTCCCAGGTTCAATTCTGGTCAAGGCCACATGCCTGGGTTGCTGGCTTGATCCCCAGTGGAGAGAGCCAACCAATGATTATCTCTCATCATTTATGTTTCTATCTCCCTCTCCCTCTCCCTTCCTCTCTGAAATCAATAAAGATTATTTAAATAAAATACAATTCATATATGAGAAGGGTCTATTTTACATTAAGACTCTTTGGAGGAGACTACAGAATTTTCCTCAATAACACACATTCTGGAAATCCTCCCTTTTCTTTACCTGATGTTCCCAGGCTACGGTTAGGTCACCTTGCCCCCTCCTGCCATAAATAAACCAGAAGGGTGCAGATCTAGGTAGGGAGAGCTGACGTCACTTATCAGAGAGGATACTCAGAAAATCTGTATCACATTGCAAAGGAAATAAACATGCGCCAAGCCACTTAGCATTCAAGGAACGACTAACTGAAAAGAGATAACAAAAAAGGATGGAGACGGGGACACGATTAAACCCACCATGAAAACGGGGCTGTCTTCTATGGCACATCCTTTCTGCACTACAGAGGGCCTGTAACAAGTTTTACACCCAGGCTGACAGGCAATTTGTTTTGAAGGTCCAATTTTTAAAAATAGAAAACATCTCCATGTGATAACAGCTTTGCAAGGAGATACAATTCACCTAGAGCAAACTTGATACATGAAAATATGGATTTATGAAGTATATAAATTAGAGAACCATTGTTCACTTTAGTAAAGACTTTCATGGTAGGGTTAACCTATTTTGTCAGCTCTCCCAATGTATTTTATACATCCTTTTGTTTAGCAAGATTCAATTTACCTATTTCTCTTGTACAAAGGAAGATACACTTAGAGTTGAGACTGTTAATTCTCTGGCTTTCATAGGT